ACAAATCAGTCGAAGTAACTGCAGCTTCATGCATGCCTACATACAAAAACACCATAAATTACTCAAATGAAAACATAATTATATATAATACCTACCTATACACACACACACACACACACAACACAGCGCTTCTAACATCAAAAATACAAAATTCATAATCTTACCCTCCAACACGCTATATACAAAATTTGAATATACATACACACACACACACACACACATATATATATATATATATATAATGTAGAGAGAAAGAGATACATATATGAAGTCTGGTAATGCATGCATGTGTATAGTATAAAAATTTAAATCCATTGTATGACATAAGATTATCTTCATGTCAAATATATATATATATATATATATATATATATATATATAGCCGCATACATACACGCCTATATACTCTGCTTAATACGGTCGTTCTGTGAGAGGAAAAATGTGATGACGCCCAGCGAAAGCTACGAAACATACAAGGTGCTATAAAAATTATCATTGGACCACTTTCGACTTCCATAATCCAGTATCATTAGCGTGTGTGCAAGTTGAATTCGCGCGTTAGCAATATTTGTGTTTTCTGATTGGCCGCTGCTCTCTACAAGATCTTAACCTACGAGCCATCTATCATGAGTGGGCGGGGCCATCAAATAGGCGTGGCTCACTTTGATGGACGATTCCATTTAATTTGAGATAGGTTATATCAGGTTATTGACAAGTTGAGACTTCTAATTTACAAGGTTGATGACTACTCTACACCAACAGATCTTTGATTAAAATCGAGCTAAAATATTCTATATTTCAAGTTGCTTTGACCTTTTGAAATAAAAGAAAATTAAAATTGTTTTTTTTTTCTGAGAAAAAATGAGGGTATAATTTGATCATTTTGTTTGCTTATTTATTTCTGGAAGATTAAATTGCTGATTGAAAAATAAAGTGTTGCAATAAATATTGCTAAGTATATATATATATATATATATATATATATATATATATAATATTTATCAATAATTTCTTTAACTTTTTTAAAGATTAGACGGTAATTAAAAATCTCACGTTGTTTTTTTACATTTAGTTTGATTAGTATGACATTCCATTATACACACACACAGTGTGGTGTGTGTATATTGCATATATATGCATGCATGCACAAGAATGGATGTTTCTTTATTAAAAGACACACACATTATATATATATATATATATATATATATATATATGCACGTACACACACACATATATATATGACTTATATCGTTAAATTTCGCAATCTTCTTTAAACGTAACAATTAAAATAAAAAATTAACAAATATACACTTGTCTGTTTGTGTTCAACTCACACACACACACACACACACACACACACATATATATATATATATATATATATATATATGTGTGTGTGTGATGCGAGTTGCATAAACCCGTTGTTACGTATTGTAGATACCTCTACGTTACATTCATTTATATATACACACACACAAGCGTACGCACATCCACTCACTCACTCAATTCCCAGACTACCCTCACTAAAATATGAATAGGGTTGCTGTTCATTTAATATCTCTTCCTTCTCCTCCGCCTTTTCCTCCTCCTCCACCTCCTACCCTCTTTTGATTTTCTTCTAACCAGCAGTACGTTACACGACGGCGACTTCACCACCACTACTGCAGACACTACGGTAGGGTTGTACCATTAAAATAGCTACATTCTTAACAGTGGGAGAATATTTTAGTTCAGTGTATGTTGTTTGAATTTGTGGGTCATAGGACGACTGCTGGTATTCTAGTGGACAACTGAAAACGTCGTTACCATGTTGTCACTGTCAAGCTAGTGTCAATATTGCTAAATGGACGGTAGGTAAGATCCTCTACTACATAGTCTTCTTAAATTTCTTTTCCTTAAAAAAGTCCTCCAGTTTGTTCCGCTTTCATACTAAATGTTTACCGTCAATGGTAGGTTCCTCAAGTCTGTCTGTCTGTCTGTCTTTCTCTCTCTCCTCAACAGTGTTTATCTCTAAAGATTTTTATATGTTCTTCCTACACAACCGCCGCTTAAATTTACATTTCACCGGTGTACACACACGAGCAGGCGTACACATGAAAAATAACTTTTCATTTTTTTTTCTAATCATAAGTTCTTTATTATTGAATTGAACACTTTCGATAAGTGACTATCCACTGTTGTATAGTTACAAATTAATCTAACTTACTTACTCACGTACACAAACAATGATTGTCGGATCAGTATTATTATTTAAATCAATTGTATGTACCCGACTCCCCTACGTACTTGTACAGATTTGCGTACATCAATTTTTCTAATTTATTTTTTCTGACATCCACCCTGGAAAGCAGAGGAGATATTTTGCTAGTCTCATGTTGTTTAGCAGTAACGCGCGTGCGCACAATGTGTGTGTGTGTATGTGAGTTTATGTGAGGATGACTGTCAGAATTTTCTCCCTTCTTTCTTGCTTTTCTCTCGTCATAACGTTTTCCTGGGTCGTTTTGTGACCATGTCCATGATTTTCATCAGGTTTTATTCTATTGTATACAATGAAAATTAATAATAAAAAACCAAAACAAAACAAAGAAACGCGTACTTCCTCCTCTCCTCAGAATACTACATCATTATCTTTACATAAAGATATATAATTTCTTCCTGTGTTATAAAAAAATTCAGTTTTTTTTCCTTTATGCTAATTATGAAATGTAACTGTCATTATTCAGTTTTTAATAACTCTCTCTGTCATTACCAGTCCCATCACTACCACAAGCATCCTTTTTTTCTTTTTCTTGATTGTACACAATTGATTCAGTTGGGGCAATGTAAGTGAATGTCGTTAGCAAGCAGACGAGATGTATGTGCACGCGTTGTAAGCAACACGGCTGCAAATTTTGTTATTGCTGTTCTCCAGCAAGAAAAAATATAAATTGATGATGATGATAACCTTTGCAAAAAAAATAAAATAAATATGACTGACTAGACTTCAGTATTGTTACTAAGTAAGTAGTAGTAGGAGGAGTAGTCATTTTGCATGAGAATATGAAGTATATATATAATAAAAACGTTAATTAATGAGTGTCTTGCTATGGAGTGGTGATATATGTGCGTGTGTTTTTGTGTTTCTGTTTAAGACAATCGTAAACGCGCTCGCGTACCTGGACAGAGACAAACAGACAGACACACGCGTGCGTACGCGCACACACGAATCCTTCATTTTAAAAAGAAACCAGTTAAGGGGGGAAAATAAGCCTTGTACTACGTACTCATAGGATGTGGCTAAAAAACTACATACGTCAAATAGACATTGTGTAGCGCTTATTTTTCAAATGTAAGTTTTTTTTTTTTTTTTTTTTTTCAGCATTTTATATATATATATATATATATATATATATATATATATATTATAAAAATGAACATGATTATTTTTAATCTGGAAAAAAATAATGTATTTTAAACCTGGTAATGTGTTGATTTTGACGTGCGTGGGTGAGAAAGAATAAAAAAAGAAAGAAGGCCAAGTTAAAAATCACAGCGATTTTAACACTAGAAGAGGGTAGGAGGATGAAATAAAGAGGGAGGAGGAGGAAGATGAAGAGGTGAAAGAGAGTGGTGGCGGTAAGAAGGACGAACACTTGTCTACGGTACGGTTATGAGAAGAAACAATATTCTCTTGTCGAAAAATGCTATGAGACTTGGAGAAATGGTCGTCACCAATAGCAACTGAAACAAAAATTCTCTCGAGAATATCTCTTTTATTGGTTTGTGTTTGTTTACGCATCCTCTATCTATATCGTGTGTGTTATATATACATATATATATATATATATATATATATATATATATATATATAACGTGTGTATATATATATATATATATATATATATATATATATATGTGTGTGTGTGTGTAAAAAAAAAATATACCAGTGTATGTGTTGATTAAGATATATTAAGTGAGAGAGGATTGTGGTGACGGAAGAGGTCTTTCCGTTTCTTGAATTGGTAGTGTCTTCTATGGTGTTATCTCAGAAATTTATAAGCAATTGTTGTATCTTTCTAAAATATTCATTTATATTCTTGAACACCTACAATATCTTTGCATTCAAACGTGTCAGTTTTTCTTCTAAAGCTCACACGCTCAAAATAGATGCAACAACAATTTATTTCATATCAAACATGATTATATTTTTTCTTGTTTAAACCTGTTGTTTGATTTTTGCGACATATACACACGTGTTAATCTCAACAAAGCTAAACAAATATGAAATTCGTATTATTAATGCTTAGCTGGGTTAATTCTAAATGAAATAATGAAATTTATTCCCAATTTTGTGCTATAAATTGATATAGGCTTGGTTGGATATACTACTTTTCATGCCTAATAACGGTAGGTAAATTAAAAATGTATCTATTTATTTAGAATACATGTAATAATCACTGAAAAACTAAATTGTAACTATTTTATGTTTTGTTTACTAGCTTCTGTTTACAATAAACAGATCTCATAACCAAGTACTAGTCTAGCTAAAAAAGTATAATGCTAGGGAGAGGTGTAATTATTATTATAATTATGTAAACAAAGGATTGAGTGTGCACTAGTGATTTCGTTAAAAATCACTTTTGTTTTGGTAAAATGAAGTGGAAAGATAATGAATGTTATTGGTCGTGTAGTAAAAATGTTATGTAAACTTCATCTTTTGAGTTTTCTTGTCTCTTCCTTTCCCATTTATCTAATTATTCTTTTATTTTTTTAAAATATATTTTGCAATTATTTTAATTCTGTTATTTTATTTTACAGCGCTTGGCAGTACCCCCGCGAAAATCTGGACTAAAATAGAATTCTTGTCATCTTAGGCACCTGGGCAATTAAAAAAAAAAAAAAAAAAAAAACAAAAAAAAGGAAAACCAAAAAGCAAACCAAATAAAAACATAATCTGGAAATTATATTTTTGAGTTTACCATTAAAAACGTGATTGATTTCTGCGGACGTTTTCGTATATGGCGCAGACTAGGGTAAGTAATTTAAAAAAAAAAAAAAAAATTTTTACTCTATTAAATTTGTATATTTTAACTTTAAATTTGCACCCCTCTCTCTATTATCAACATTTTATTTCCTCTTCCTGTTATCCAGAAGGCATAATTTTTTATGCAAGCACTCCATTTTTTACGATATAGTCCTGCGTATTTAGGGTTCATTTAAAATATAAGCGGATAACCTTAAAATATACATGATGCTCACTTTTGAATAGAACATATTTTTTTAATCTTGTACCTAGAAACAAATTACCCAATTTACGATTAAATAATGGTAAGTAATATAAATGTAAAAAATTATATTTTCAAGCTTTATTTAAACTTTAATTGTCTAAGTTATATTTTTTAAACCCCTTCAGATTTTAATATCTTTTGTCAGGCATTTAAGCGACTATTAAAAATATCTAAATTCAATTTTGGTCTTAAATCAAGTGGAACCGTGGTTGTCTTATTTCATGTTCAGTTTTACTGTTAAATTAATTTGTCTCAAGATGCTATTATAAGATAAAAATCAGTAATCGATCACTGGACACTAACAAGCATCGAAATATAATTTAATGTCTATCAGTCAGATTTTCATAATAGTTATTTCTTTTTATATTTCTTTATTTTTTAATATTATTGTTGTTTATTTAATTTTGTTATGGTATACCGTATACAGAGACCTACTGTTTTATTGTGAAAATAACAAATTAAATACTAATTAAAATATTACAAGGCAAATTTAAAAATGTTTTACATATTTTACTTCACGAGCAAACAATATACGTTACACCACAAAAAAAAAAAACGGGAATTTTGGAAAAACTGACAGAATTGTTGTGTATTAATATTTTTATTTTTTCAACTGCGTATGACTGTGTACAGACACAATGGTAATAAATACATACAGTCCCTGTATGTGCTTAATATTATCGAAGCTTAAGTCGGACACAAGGGCATAAAATTTGCTCAAATGAGAATTAGACTCTCTACAAACTCGCTCAACATTGCACAGCGTTGAGATATCCCGATGTGGGTAACTTTCTAAAGAAATTCTGTTTCTACAGATTTTCAATAAAATAAGGTATTCAAAAAATATACATGTATTTACGGGTAAATAATTAAACGTTTGTATATACACATTTAATGACACTAAGTCTCTACGCACTTATATCACTATCCGTGTGTGCATACATCTGAAATATGTGTGGATTTGTATGTAATAATCATATTGAAATATCTGAAAGTTTACAATTTTCAAAAATACGTAAGCCGCGTACCAAAATTTGTTTGAAATATAAAATCTTTTGAACATAAACTATTCTATGAGATACACTTCAATGCAAATATGACAGTGTATACAAAAACAATAGAGGGGAAAAAACTGGAAAATATTTTTAAAAAGACGTGCATAAAGTAGTATTTAAACCTGTGCAAGGGTAATTGATTATCTTCGGGATAGTGATCAATATGGAAAAAAGATAAACTATATTCAATCAAGATCTTATTCTTAATTATATAAATTGAGTGCATATATATTAAAACCAATACAACTGAAAGGTAATTTATTTATTTGAGCCTAAAAAGGCTCAAATAAATAAATTAAATAAAGAGTAAAAAATACTGCTCGACTATGTACATTTATTTTAAAATTAGTAATGTTTACAGATATATTTGACCGATTATATCTTTATTAAATATAAGAAACATGAAAAATAAGTGCGTAAAATATGCGCATATTTCAACAAAGCACACGTATTTGTTTAATGACCTTAGTATTTGAATATGTATGTATTTGCAAAAATAAATTGATAGATGTGCGATTGTTTGAGCGCGCACACAAATGATTTGATTTTTTTTAACGTATGTGTTCATGAGATACATTCTATGCGTACGTACATGCATGTTTTTGTTGTATGTGTCGCTATTAAAGTTTTTAGTATGGCACAAGCAAGACCACAAACCCCTTCTTACAGGACTTTATCTACCAAAACAAACACTCGGGTAACTATCAAAGTATCTTTCAAACTTGATACAGCTGACCTTTGGTGATCAGGCAGAAAAAAAGAACCTGTTCTTTCAACATGATTAGTCAGTAAGCATATGTTACTTTAGATACAGGTTTACTATGGCACAAGGCACGGTGAGGATTGAACTCGCTACACTAGCGAATAGTATGCGACAATTTGCTAAATACCAATTCACAGTAGGCGACCGATGTAGGTATATGTCTAATTTGTATAAAAAATTCTGTTTGTATTATCTTCTTTACTTTTAGTACGAGAATGAAATCCCATACGGGACATCAATGGAAGGAATGTACGACCCACCTCACAGGTCTATACCAAACCACCCGCTTTCAACTCACACGGGCAACTTAAATCATGGGCCTATTCCACAATACCCCTCGTACTCCCCCAGTAACAATATGCCGAGTGTTATGAACTCACCCCAGGATGGTCAGCTAAAAAGAGACAAGGACGCTATATACGGGTAAGTACTTTTATTTTTCCCTTCATTAATAGAGAAGGTCATATCAAGAACGACATCCTCGACTCCGACTCTTACACTTCATTTTGTTTAGTTTCCCCTATTGCTGTTCATATCCGGCTTGAGGTATCTAAATAAAAGTTTTTAACAAATAAATAAATATACTTAACTGACTGAATTTTCTTCACTTATCTAGGAATTCATATCCGGTTTACGGCTGTTTGGAATATATTTCGAAAGATTCTCTTAAACTCTAAGTGAACAATAATCAGTCTGTATTTAAATTTAAAAAAAGTCTAATAAAATGTATCGCTTATAAAATATTGTAAGAGTTTGTAATAAAAAATAAATATTTTTTCTCTAAAATAACAATATTCCATCCTAATGTGCTTAAAGACTAGTATTTCGCATTTTAAAATTTCTTTATGTACAACTTATAGTTCAGCTGCATAATCGTTTTTTTTCTTCTTAAAGAATTAAAAATCTGTAGAGTTTTATGCAAATTTTCTACTAGTGCCTTTGATCAGTATTCGAGTCTAGATAAAAGCAAACCTCCAAAATTTGAATACTCTTTTTCTAAACATAGTCTCTTCCCATCTACAAATTTGACGGAACTCATTCTTTCTACATTTACTACTATTCTCTAAATCTGACTAAGAATAGTAAATATTATGAACATATAGCTTTACTACATAATTATTACATCTACTTTTGTATGAAATCTGAGCAAAAGACGTATTTGTAGTATATATATATATAGTCTTGAGTTTAACCATTGTTTTTATATTGTTTCTGTATCATTTGAAATAGTTTGAATATCATATGCGTTTTAGTCAGATTTTTAAATACCTAAGAAAAGTTTAACAACGCAGGGCATTTATTGGAGAAAAAAAAATATTTCCGGTTTTAAGGAAGACTTTTTCTCACGCTGAATTTATTGGGAAATACTGACCATTCAGATTTTAATAACATGTAACAAATACATTTAAATTTAATTTTTAAAAAGTGTTTAGTTAAAATTTTGTTAATTGTATATTATTATTGTAGCTTTACATACGTACTAAAAGTAGTAAGATTAGTTGATTGTAAAGTTATCAGTTCACAAAATTTTACAAGCACAAACGTAATTACCATTTATTGTTTTACTCCTAGTCCTTTCTCTGTCAGCATCAAAGTTTAGCGAGCCTCATTTTCATTCTTACATCTGAAATAACTATACGAAGTAGACGTTTTGTTTACAAACATCGCAAATGCAAAAATGGTAAATAATTTTAAGATTTAGCTAAGTTAAATTTGTGCTTATATAAATTAAATAGTAAAAAAATCCCTTGAATTTGGAAAATTAAATTTTAAGTATTTTTTTTTGTTTTTTGTTTTTTTTTTTAATAACATACAATGACGTTTTTTTTTTTTTTTTTTTTTTTGACGTCCGTATGTTTAAATATATTCAATTCTTTCTGGTAATAAAAATCCATAATTGTAAATATGCGTGTTTAACTAAAGGACACCGCATTGTTTTTTTTGTTTTTATTTTAATTGTGTTATTTAGTGCATTTGCATTTTTTCATCAAAATTAACTGACCACCACGCGCAATAATTTATCTCATTGATATATTTATTTTTTATTATCTTTATCGCAAATTTATAAAAAGGGACAAGGCCAAGGGAGTATTTTGCCAGTGTTCTGTTCAGTATTTGATAATTTGCAAATCCAAAAACTGCTTACAAAGCAGTTTAAACAAGTTTAGAATACTTTAACTAAAAAAAAAAAAAAAATACCTGTCGCTAAAGCTGAAATATATTTTCATGTAAACTTTTAGAAATCGTGAAAGCTTGTAAAAGAGAAACAATCATATTCAAAAAATAAAATAGGGTTACTTAAATCAAATAAGCTTATGATTTTTAAATTCGAACTGATTTGTATATTTTTTGCTTTTCGGCGAATTTTCGTATTTCGTTACCGGATGAAATTAGATTTCTATATTTGTGAAATCCAACAGTTTCTACATTTAATTTAATAATTTTGTTGTTTTTTAAATTCTTCTCAAGGTTTACAAGTAAATTTTGTAAATTTATCGGTTAAGAAGTTAGAATACAAAAAATATATTATGAAATATCTAACTTGTTAAATAGACGTCCAGAATTTTGTCTGTAATAAGTTTTGTTGCTAGACTGACGAATTATATACAAGAAATATTATACAAGAAATGCTTTCAAATTTTATTAAAATATAATTTATTCTTAATAAGTTAAAAACTAAAAATGTCTCAGTGTTGTAAGTTAATGATTTTCATTTAATTTCGCTTTCCGGCAAGAACAGGAGACTTACAAATGAAAAGATTTTATTTGACCCTTTTTCAAGAAAACTGCTTGAAAACTATCTTAACTTTTTAATTGCATTTATTTTTTGTTATGATAAGCATAAATGGGTTTAAGTGTTCTACAGTTAAATATTATTTAATAAAAATTGTCATAAACGTACATATGGGAATTTGTTTTAATTAAATTTGTAATCCTTGTCTAGCTTTTTAATTAAAGTATACGGCACGCTTCAAACAAATAAACTACCTTTTTTTATCTTAAATATTTTGCAAATTATATAAATGTCGGTAAAGTTCTGCTTTTGATTATTCTCTTCGATTTAAAAATCTTTACTGAAATTAATAAAATCATTCTGTATAGGCGCTTCAGATCAATTTGTTTCCCTTCGTATGCGGAACTTTCTTTTACACACACAGATAACAAATAAACTAAAAAAAAACTCAATGTGACCCCAGTTACAAGCTTTCTGCAACTCCGTGCAATTTGAAATAACTAAGAAATCTTTCGCGCGAATAATAAAAATGCGTCGCTAATTTTTTTTTTTTTTTTGTCGCATTTTTCTGAAAATGTTTAGATGAAAAAGAATTATTTTTATTTCGTATTGTATTGATAAATTACAACATAGTCTGAGAAGACCGCACTTTATGAAATAAAAAAGAAAAGAATGATTAAATTTATTTTAATCTCTTTATAAATTTATAATTTTATAAAATGAAATAACTTTTCTGATAGTCCCATTTTGTCTTCATATATTAAAAAACTACATTCGTTCAATAAAAAAATCAGTTTGAATTAATCGCTAGAGATTTAATTCTGTGATATAACTTGCTTAATTTCCTTCTATTGGACACGTTTTAGAGTTTTTGGTTCTGCATTCCAAATAGGAAACTTTTACTTTTAGTTATTCATTAAATTTAAGTAACATTTTAATTTCTTTATATGGCAAATATAATTTCCTTTGAATTTTAAAATCATTTGGTTATTATACCGCCTTTTTACATATAAGCTTTATAAAATTAAATGGAAAACAATTAAAATAGTCTATGTAAGTGTGCATATTTGTTTTACGTTAAAAAAAATACAATGGCGATAAGCCGAGATTTTGTTTTAAGGATTTTTGTTGTGACTTTTTTAAATTGCTAAATAACACCATCCAGTAAATAAATGTACCGGTCGGTACCGTAAAGTTATACCTGTTATGTTTTAAAATTTATAATTTTTTATGACTGTTGTCTCGGAGAATTAGATTAAAAATAAATAAATTGTATACACTACTAAAATTAGATTAAATAATTTCTATATTAACGATATTTAAATATCAGAACTTATATTGGTGGGGAAATGGTAACGTGCTAGAGAGAATTGACTTTCACTAGTCTTGAAATTTTGATTACTTTTTAGGTCTTTATGGCCGACAATTGCGTGTCCGATTTATGTTCTGTACAAAATAATTAAACATCTGTTAAAAAATTAAATATTTAATTTCCGAGAATGCACTACTTAGCAGTAGCACCTTTTCCTTTAAATTATATTTCAATAAAGTATTTGTACCACAGAACGTTACGATAACATTTAAAAATCTTTGTGTAAATAGTTTTTCTCGATGTTCAAATATTTATCTAAATTTATTTTAGATTGACGTAATATTTTCGCACTAGTTTTTGTGTGCGTATAAAAATAATTTTATATAGTATATAAAAAAGTTTTATATATAATATACTCATCTTTTAAAAAATTTGTCTCATCGTCATTAAGTCTGTTACTTGTAATGAATTTTAATTATTGTATGTATTGCATTTTTACACTACTACAGTGACCAACAGTGTTCGTATTCTTCATTGTGAATTTAAGCAAATAACGTTTATAAAATCTTATTAAAATTTAAAAATAAGCAGCAACAGTGATTAATATTAAGTAGTGTTTTTTTGTTAATTTTGAAAAGTAGGCATTTTTATTTTGCAGTACTTTTGTACTTTATAAAAAACTTCTATAATTTTAAACTTGGAAGTCATTTTATATTGGAAGTGCAAACGTAACTCATGACTAGGTCGCTCAAGTGCGGATTAGGAAAATGTTCTTTTTAAACATATTTATAACGCATCTTTCTTTCTCTTTTTAAAACTTACCTTATGTCGTATCATTACATAAAACTATAATAAGCTATTTAAAAACGGATATAATAATCGATAAGATGAAATTAAAATAATCCGCTGGATTATCCTACAGAAACGGAAGGCCCGTTAACCAAAATCAAATGATCCTTCCTTTTTTTTTTATGTGTGTGTTATCGAGTTTTACTCGAGGCAATTTCATTCTTTCCGTTTTCTACAATCTATTATTTAATGATAAGATTGTTTTTCTCTTTTATGAAATTTTTTTATGATCAGGTAGTCCACGTAAAAACAGTATTAGTGAAAACTTAAATTATTGTTTTGATAGCTGTGTACAACAGTTGGGAGAAAATATTTAAAATTAAATTCTGCTCGTGTGATTGACAGCTGTGTTGTTAGTATTTATTTAGTTATAAATTTATTGGCTTTGTCATTATTTTCATTAGTCGACCCTATCAGTTTTTCTTTTTTAATTTTACAGTCGGTTTTCATAAAGTATTAAAATAAAAATTAATAATTTACATTTAAAGTTATTTTTATTTACGTTATAGGTGATCGTAAAATAAATAACTTGCTTCGTAGATGACGAATTTAATTTAATTTTTAGTTAAAAAAAAAGAAATGAAAATTTGTTAGTCATCTTATATTTGACCAAGAACTGTTTTTATATTAACCGGCTTTGCTTCCTGAACCATTCTTTAATTTTTATATTAATTTCTTGGAATTAAGGCAATCATCTGTCGAATAAAATAGATTGTTGTTGAATTATATCTATTTATTATGGAATGTGAAATCTGGCAAAACACTGTAATAATCATATCGTATTTAAAATACACTTTAATTAGAAAAACTGTTGAAATATGAATTTTCCTAATTATGATATTTAACTTCACTCTCTTCTGTCGACATGTCAGTCTTACTCGTGGGTTATTTTTTTTATTTGTATGTACTTTTTGTTAATCTGATAAACAGGCTACCTACAAAGAGTATATACATACACTGGAAAGAAATACAGGTAACAAAGATATAATAACCGAACAATTATTCTAATTATTGACATTTGATAAATATACAAAATTTCGATCTTTTTCCTTTTTTTTCTTTTTGTGGATGGGGAATACTTTTATATTTCTTGAATACTTGTCTGTATGTGTGTCGAAACCTCATGTCGGCATTACGGGCAATAAACTCTTTATATTGTATGATTATTGAAAACTCAATATTTTAATATTAAAAAATAGAAAAAAAAATTGTGATGAACTATGATTAGATTTTCTTTTTTTAAAGAAAATACAATGATGCTATGATTTGGGGTTAGAGCTAGCGGTGTCACCATTATACGAATATAGAAAATAAATAAAAAATGGTCCTAAAAGTAGATATATGCAATTTTCAATATAATGCCATGCAGTTATTTTGGTCTGTGATATAAAAATATGAATTTATTTTAAATACAGAAAACCCTAATTTACACACGCAACAAACATAACCAACTTTAGAATTATTATAATTTATTTATGTAATTATGCGTAGCTTGTAAGGTTCATAGTTGTTTATGCACACGGTCAGTTATGAGTAATATATATATATATATGTGTGTGTGTGTGTATGTATATATGTGTGTGTGCTAATTAAATATCAATAACTTAACCACCTTCAATTTACTATTTTTTTTTAAATATATATTTACTTTTATCAGATGAGAAAAAATTTTAAACATATCCCACATTTAATTTTAAAGTATACTGCATCTATTTGAGAATATTTGTCAGTATGAGATATATATATATGTAAAAATGACTACGTTTATAGTTCGTACTGATGTGGGAATATATAAATTCCTATTAAAAATAAATAAAATCAATCTCAGTTATTAGTTATATGAACTTTATTTTTATTAATTGTGAAATAATCTATGATGAATTATTCTTCAATAATTATTACATATCGTCACGGCAAATCAACGAAAACCTAAGTGTAAATAACAGTGTAAAAGTATTTGTAAGTATTGAAAATATGAATTTTTAAAATTTATCATTCTAATAGAACAATTCATAGTTGCTTCCTCTTTTATATATAGATATTTGCAAAATATTAAAATCAATGAAAATTAAATATTGATTAGTTATTTACTGATTTGCTTTCGGCCTCTCTAGATATAATCTTCGGCGGATAATAGCAATAAAAAAAAAATATTAAAATCAACGAGTTTATTAATCAAACAGTGATCAGCTATATACCCATTTTCATTTTCTTTCCTTGTTTTGACATAATAATGTATGTTACGGAGATAATGACAATAAATATGGAAGCATTAACAAAATCAAGGAAACTCTTTGTTCATCAAATAATTGCTAGGTACTTGTCGGAGATTTGCTTTCATTGATGCGGGAAAAATAAAATATACCTAAAAATATTTAAAGAAAAAAGAAAAAAAAGTAGACCACAATTTTTGTTGTTATTCATGCAAGAATGTTTTCTGAAGTTATTTTCTTCCTCATACCTGTATTTTATTTATTACAGACATCCACTATTTCCTCTATTGGCACTTATCTTTGAGAAATGTGAATTGGCCACGTGTACTCCCAGAGAACCAGGAGTAGCGGGTGGCGATGTTTGTTCTTCGGAATCGTTTAATGAGGATATTGCAGTTTTCTCCAAGCAGGTACTGGTATGTGTATCCCGGAATTCTTTTTTAAATACCTATTTCATTGTCTATGTTATTTTTTTGAATATACTAAAGTTCTTAGTTGTGATATTGTAAAAAGAAAATGATTCTCCGCACAAGATTTCTTTTCCGAGCGATAAAAATATCACTACATTTTAAAACTTACATAAAATCCAACCACATTTTTACACTCATATGACCCAAGAAAATCTATCAAAGATTATTTTGCTGAATATTTCAATGGTTTCAGAAAAAGATCGTTGCAACTACTTTAAAATATAAAGTAGATTTTTATCATACAGACTGGTGACAAGAGTGTGTTACGTGCGTGTGTTACGTGCGTGTGTTACGTGCGTGTGTTACGTGCGTGTGTTACGTGCGTGTGTTACGTGCGTGTGTTACGTGCGTGTGTTACGTGCACCTCAATAAGGTCCATAGCCTAATTTTAAAAAATAAAAAAAATTAAGCAACAAATATTTTTTTCGACATGATTTCCTTTCTTGTATATGCAATTAAACCGGCGATTTTTCTATATCTTACAACTATTGAATATTACAGAGTGAAACTTTCAGATCAAAATTCAACTCGTAGGTGTCTCAGGTTATGAACTTCATGATCCGTCCTCATCCATCAAATAGTTATATCGAATATAATGTTTTATATCATTCTTCAATTTGAAAAATTATGAATTACTTTTAACGTAATTAGGCATAATGAAACATTTCGTTTTAACATCATGCATAGGCTATATTGTTTAATTAAAACAATTGTGGAGAGACTTTTCTTCTTTCTATATATTTTATATATATATATATATATATATATATATATATAAATTTTTTAATCTTAAGATACGAGGCACTGGAAAGTGTTTTGCCCGACTAAATAAATATATATATATATATATATATATATATTTAATTTGGTCAAATTTTAGGAAGTGGGTCGAGCCGAGAACTTTTCATTACTCGCCACCTCCTGTGCGTATAAAATGATTATATATATATATATATATATATATATATATATATATATGAGTGATTATAATTCATTAAAAGTTACCGCCCCTTCCGTTTTTAAATTTCTTTTCTGTAAGTCATACTTATTGCTCCAGTATTAGCATTATAACTAGGCTGTTTCATAGTGGTGTAATGGTCAGCAAAGTTAAACTTGTCTTTCATTTATTGTGGAATCAGTACTCTCTCCGTACCCCTGGCCTTGTATCAAACTAAGCTTATTAATTAATATTACTATGTTAATTTTTTTTGGAGGAGGTGCAAGAACAGAAACATGCGATTTTCTTTTCACCAAATAAATGTAATCTGTTTTTTAGCAATAGTGTTTATTGCCAGAATGCACATAGAAAGGTGGATTGTCATATCTTTAGATTCCTTCTTTCAAAATATCATTTTTACCTTATTAGTTATTGGTTTATTTGGGCTGAAGTAAAATCTTTCTAAAATTGAACTGTATAATGGAAATTGTCGGCACAAACAATTTTTTAAAAACTTTTATTTCATTTATTAATTTATTTTTGGAACCTTGTCTCGCTCCCTCCCTCTGTGTGTGTGTGTGTGTGTGTGTGTGTGTGTGTGTGTGTGTGTTATTGGGACGGTAGCATTCTTTTTAGCTTATTGCAATTCAAAAATGTATCCCTACTTTTATTTTTTAGAAAAATGATTTTTTGACTTTAAATTGTTTATTACTTTTCCTTAAAATTGATAAATTGAACACCTTACCAAACGTCTGAAATAAACATCAGTTATTCAGTGACATATTTATTTTATATATTACGCATACACTTGTATGCATTTGTTGTTTGTGTGTATTTTTGTGAATGACTATTTGTAAGCATTTTTCGAAGCTTTATACTGTGAATGTGGTATTTAATTAACTATGCGCACACGCGGATATCTATACATTGTGCGTACATCTCATTGTGGGTGTGCAGGTGTCATAAACTTCTGCAAAATATCTCGTATCAAAATACTCGTATTCTATACATAAAATAAATTTATTTTGAATTGTGTTAAAAATGTTTGCATTGAAATATATAGTATTATAATTTTATTTCATATTATTCTAGCATTATAATCTTCATATTATTGGTGTAAGCTTAAAAACGATGAAGCTAAACAGAAAGGACACCTTGAAATTAATCGTTGCGTATATAATTGATATCGTGCATTATATATAATATATATATATATAATGCACGATATCAATTATATATATATATATATATATATATACACATAATGACGTATTTTCTATACGCATTTACGAATTTGCGTGTTTGTCAATCTTAAAAAATATGTATATGCAGAATATGATATTATTTAATGGAAAATAAATGTTGCTAAGTATGCATCTGTATGCTTAAATGTTATTTTATTCATAGAGCAAAGATCTAAAAAGTTTAAAGTTAAAAAATTGAATTTATTGAATTGGCCAATCGAAATTCCAGTTGAGTTTGTTCATTTAACCCTAATGCTCTTCAGAAAAGGCATGAATCCACCGCTTCCCACACTACCTCAACAACCCTTCGATATTACATATTGACACCACCAAACAATTATCTATCATCTTTTTTTTTTTTTTTTTTAAATTTGTGTTGGTTTTCTTTTAAGATATCTTAGTGATGACTATTTAGTACTATTTAAAATTTGCATATTTTATCCCCCACTGTGTGTAAAAATAAAAAAATATATAAAAAAAAAATAAATATATAATAATTTTCTTTTTTTTTCTTAATAATCATTTTATAGAAAATAAATATTTGTAACTCCTAATTTCATCAAAGATTGTAGCCACCATACTGGACAATAATTTGATATGTTATGAATATTTTTATAAATTCGTATTGCGTGCTTTAGATTTATCTAAAGCATTTTGAAAAAGAAAAAATGTGCCAAACACGAATTATTTAATTATTGCTTGTAAAAATTGTTATTTAAAATAATTAACTTATTTATCTTGTATATAATTTGATAAATCATTGACATTATCCAACGCTGTTCAGGCGTTCAAATATTCTTTGTATATTTGCTACTCTTAATATATTTCGGTCGATCCATTCTTCAGTCGTTACCAGGTGTAATCTGTGGCGCTAAAAACAAACTCTTTACTCAGAATAAACAAATAGGTTAAGCTAATTTTTCACTCTTAATATACCTGAAGAATGGCGAAAAAAGAATCGGTCGAAACTTTAAAACTGACTACACAATAAAGAGCTTTAAATATCTGATAATTGCTGGGTATTTATTAATTCTCCATATATCGTTATTACATCTTAATATCAAGTTTAGCTAAGTCACATAGAAAGTGATAAAAACTGGTGCAATACATTCTTCCAAGTAGGAATGCTTTGTCAAGATTAAAAATCTATATACAAAATCCTGGGTTGTAGTTCAAAACTCAAGTATCGGGGTGGGAGGGGAAATAAATACATAATTCAGTCACCTATCAAGTCTATTTGTATAACTTGGGGTATTTTTTTAGCTTTGGGACTTAAGACTGTAAATATGTCGTTCTTGCTTTTAGAAATTATTCAATATTCTGACTCCGATAAATTTAGGTTCTAAAACTGATCACAGAAAACTGTGTACTGTAGAAATATGCAAGAATGTCAGCTACCGAATCAAGCTTAGTAACAAATCCACTGTGTCTAACAAATAATAGCAAACTTCCTGGTGCTAAGAAATTCATTTGAAACATTGTTTATCGATCTTTTTTTCGTTGTCTTTCGATTTCTATTCATGCTTGCCAATATCTGCTGAACGATAACTTATTTTCATTGACCGGCATACAAGTTATAATATTTTACTAATTTCCATAATTATCACTTTTTCTTTTCGGTATTCCTGATTTTTTTTTTTTTTATTTCCGGTTCATACTGAGCTATACGAAATATATTTCCAAATATGAGCCTGAAAACAAGAAAATAATCAACAACATTTTAAAATTATTTTTCAAAGGACTTTCATAATCGAATTTATATAAATAAAAAAAAAAATGTTTCGCACACACACAGATACGACATACCCAACATATTGCTGGCGCTGACTGATGTTTTGTAATTAGTGGTAAAAAATGATTTGGGTCAATTAAGAAATTTAACGTTGGACAGACATTAACAAATTATTCGTATCTAAATCATTAAATATATCAAATAGAATTGTGAAAGACTGAAAATTCAAAAGTTTTTATTTTATAATATTTTATAAGTATGCGTAGTTCCTTGTGGGTCAGAAACAGCATTATGGAATCGTCAAATAAATTTTTGTAAAACGCGAAAATTTATTTCCATTGACAGGAAATAGAATTAAAGAAATCGATTATACAAATCATCATAAGTAGAAACACACTCATAGAAAGAATTGATGTGAAATACATTTGCAGAAAATGTTTTCATTTTTTTTTTTTTTTTTTTTATTAAAATGATATCGAGTAAATTTACTAATATTGAAATTTTGCTAAATATTAAAAACAAATACGATAACTGTAAACCCCTGGGAATCATATTTCCTGTGGACCAACTTTCCTGTTAATGGAAACTTTGACACTTTCCCATTAGTATAAAAAATGAATTTTTTAAATAAAATATTTCCTGGTGTGTGGAAAAAGAAATATTCTATTTCTTTTTTCTCTCTCATACATACATACACACATATATATATATATATATATATATATATATATATATATAAGTCCAGGTAATAGATCCGTTGGTATATGATCCACGTGGATCCGAGTAATATTAAAACCGATCCACAAAGAGAGCTAAATGTATTTATTATAAACAGAATATATATACAGTCTAGGGTTGAAGAAGACTGGCGCAAGGTTATATATATATATATATATATATATATATATATGGTTATTTTTACCATATCCACAATAATATTTTGCTTTCCACTTATGAACTAGAAAAGCTTTCGTCTGACCAATTCTTCAAATAATAGTGGTTAGTTTTTTTTTTATCTTTATTCCACCCCGAC